TTTTTCATTTCTGATAGCATGGTTGTTTCATATGTTTTTCTTGATCATTCTAGCTAGGGGTTTTTCAGTTGTGATTTTCATTCCAAATAACTGTTGTCTGATTTCTACTTTGATTTTTACTGTATCTTTTTTTTTTTTTCTATTTCATTTGGGCTTACTTTGCTTTTCCTTCTCTACCTTGTTCAGATAGAAACGGAGGTTATTGTTTTTTTTTTTTTTTAAGATTTTATTTGACACAGTGAGAGAGATCACAAGTAGGCAGAGAGGCAGGCAGGGGGGCGGAGCAGGCTCCCCGCTGAGCAGAGAGCCCCATGCGGGGCTCGATCCCAGGACCCTGGATTCATGACCTGAGCCAAAGGCAGAGGCTTAACCCACTGAGCCACCCAGGTGCCCCTTTTTTAAATAAATATGTAAAACTAATTTTCACTCTAAGCCATGACTAATAGGAGTTTCTACAGTGATGGAAATATCCTATTTTCTGCTGTCCAGTTCAGTGGCTGCTAGCCACACGTGCCTACTGGGCACTTGAAATGTGGCCAATGTGTCTGAGGAATTGGAACTTTTAATTCTAATTAAATTGAATCACATGGCTACTGTATTGGGCAGTGCATCTCTAAGCACAGCTTCACCTGCATCAACAAATCTTTATATTATTAAATTCAGATTTGTCTAATTCCTCTTGTGATCTCATCTTTGGCCCATACATTACTTATGTGGGTCTAATATGTGGTTTAATATCCTAATGTTTTGGGGGTTCCTGGCTATCCTGTAACAGATTCCTCATTCCACTGTGGTCAGAAAATACACTTACACTGTGTTTAATTTTAATATTTTTGTTAACACTTGCTTTACAGCCCAGGATATGTTCTATCTTGATGAATATGCCATGCATACCTGAAAAAAAAGTATTTTGCAGTTGTTGGAGGTAGTACTCTATAAATGTCAAGTAGATTGAGACAGCTGATAAAGTGATTTAAGTCTTTTGTCCTGATTTGTTTAGTTGTTCTATTAATTGTTCAGTGGGTGTTAAAAATCTACCACAGCAGGGTGCTGGCTGCGTCCCATCAGTAGAGCTTGTGACTCCTGATCTCAGGGTCACACATTGGGTGTAGAGCCTATTTTTAAAAAATTTTTAAATTTATGGCATAATTGTCAGTTTATTCAGTTGCTTCATGTACTTTAAGGCTGTTAGGTACATACACATTTATACTTATACTATCGTCCCAAGGAATTGTCCGCTATCATTGTGAAATTCTCCTTATTTTTACCTATGGCAATAACCTTTGAAGTCCATTTTATTTGGGATTTATATAGCCACTCTAGTCTTTTGCTAATTTGCATATTCTATTTTTTCCATCTTTTGACTTTAAACTCCTCTGTAAAGTGTTTCTTTTAGATAGCATATAAATGAGCTTTTCCCTAACCCACTGTCAATTTTTTAAATTAGAATGTTCCTAGATCAATAATACATAATTATTGATATGGTTGGACTTTGGTATACCATTATTCAACCAGTTTTTTGTCTCCTCTATTTGTTCTTGCCAAACACTTCAGGTTTTACTCCCTCCAGTCCGTTAGCTTTTGTTTACTTTTAAAAGTCCCTGAGTGGTTTTTTTTTTTTCCTATTTTAACCAGTTTTATCATTGTAAGCAGTGGGAGGGTTGGGTTGTAGGGCTTGCATTGTGATAATGGAACCAAACTCCCCAGAGTGCTTTCATGAAGGTTTCACGGACATTTTCACTTATGAAAATATACGTAAGAAATTGAAAGTATACATAAGAAATTGGTGGCTGAGGGGAAAAAAGAAATTGGTTCTTGTGGATATAGGGAGAAATTGTGAAAAACAAGAGGAAAAGCTTACTTTTTTCAATACAGACCCCTCTGCACTTTGACCATGAGCATGCACGTATTTTCAAAAAATGTATTAACTAGTCAAAGCAGTCCATGTGGGATGGATTAAACATTAGACAGTTTAAAGGACAGATGTAGCAAACAGCAAAGGCTCTAACCTGATCACCTAAAGAAGTAAACCTATTGGTAGCCACAAGGAAGATATTGGTACCTGATGTGTTGTATTCCAAGTGAAAGTGTTCTTACAAATAAACAGGTCTTCAAATATTTGTTTAGGGTTGCCGCCTGGCCCATCTTTCACATAGGCACTATCCTCTGTAGAATACAGCAATACAATTTTTTTTTAAAAAAGATTTTTATTTATAGGACAGAGAGAGATCACAAGTAGGCGAAGAGGCAGGCAGAGAGAGGGGGAAGCAGGCTCCTGCTGAGCAGGGAGCCCGATGCGGGGCTCAATCCCAGGACCCTGAGATCATGACCTGAGCTGAAGGCAGATGCTTAACTGACTGAGCCACCCAGGAACCCAAGCAATTTAATTTTTGTCATGCTTCTCAAGAGTGGGCATGCAGCTACTCATTCTCACAGGAGCAAGCTTGGGCACAGGTAAAGCAATTAAAAAGCTGCCTATTCTAGGGAGGGCAATTCCTATAATCCTACTGAAGAACCCTAGTTGGCACTTGTAGTGAGATTAAATAATATAATTTTGGTATTGCATAGAAAACCTGTTTGAAAAAACAAAACACAGGGGGCTCCTGGGTAGCTCGGTCCATTAAGCATCTGCCTTCAGCTCATGTCATGATCCTAGGGTCCTGGGATCAAGTCTTGCATCCAGCTCCTTGCTCAGTGGGGAGTCTACTTCTGCCTGCTTGTGCTCTCTGACAAATAAAATCTTTAAAAAAAAAAAAAAAGGACACCTGGGTGGCTCAGTGGGTTAAGCAGCTGCCTTCAGATCAGGTCATGATCCCAGCACCCTAGGATCAAGTCCCACATCAGCCTCCTTACTAGGTGGGGAGCCTGCTTCTCCTTCTGCCTGCCTGTACTTTCTCTCTCTGAAAAATAAAATCTTTAAAAAACCAAAACCAAAAACAAACTTTACTAATCATGCCTTTCATTATATAGCAGCAGGGTCCACTAACCATAAGTAGCTATGAACCACTTGAACTGTGGGTATTCCAAACTGAGATGTGCTAGAAATACAATAGATTTTGAAGCTTTACCCTGAAAAAAGGAATACAAAATATCTTGGCAACAATTTTTAAAGCATACATGTTGAATGATAGTATTTGGGGTATATGGAGTTAAATATAGAAAAATTTCACCTGTCTCCTCTTAGTTTTTTAATGTGGCTTTAAGGACATTAAAAATTACATACATGGCTCATATTTCTGGGGGGAGTGTCCTACTAGAGTATTAACAAAAACTCAAGACCATTTGGACATCCACATGTAAAAAAAATGAAATCTAGACACAGACCATACGCCCTTTACAAAAATGAGCTCAAAATGGATCACAGACCTAAATGTAAAATGCAAAACTTATCAGAAAACTCCTACAAGATAATGCAGGAGAAAATCTAGATGATGCTTGGTTTGGTGGTGACTTTCAAAAGCACGATCCGTGAGAGAAAGATAAGTTGGACTTCATTAAAATTAAAAATTTCTGCCCTGTAAAAGACATTGTCAAGAAAATAAGACAAGCCAGAGACCAGGCAAAAATATTTAAAGAACACGTATCTAACATAAGACAGTTATCCAAAATATAAAAAAATTTCTTAAAACAATAATACCCAATTAGTAAAAGGGGCAAAAGACCTAACAGACATGTCACCGAAGGTATAAAACACATGAAAAGATGTTCAACATGTCATCAGCGAAATGGAAATTAGAACAAGATACCACTACAAGTACACCTATTGGGATACACTTGACACCACCAGATGCTGGCAAGTATGCAAGGCGACTGCAACTCATTTGTTGCTATAGGAATTCAAATGGGACAGCCACTTTGGAATAGAATTTGACAGTTTCCTACAAAACTAAACATACTGGGGCACCTGGGTGGCTCAGTGGGTTAAAGCCTCTGCCTTCGGCTCAGGTCATGATCCCAGGGTCCTGGGATCGAGCCCCACATTGGGCTCTCTGCTCAGCGGGGAGCTTGCTTCTCTTCCTCTCTCTCTCTGCCTGCCTCTCTGCCTACTTATAATCTGTCAAATAAGTAAATAAAATCTTGGAAAAAGAAAAAACTAAACATACTATTACTTCTATGATCCAGGATCTGCACTCCTTGCTATTTACCCAAGTGAACTGAAAAACCTGTCCACATATCTTTATAGGAGCCTTATTCATCAATTGCCAAAATTTGGGAGCAATGAAGAGGTCATTCAGTAGATGAGTGGATAAACAAGCTGTAAGTTACATCCAGACAATGTAAAATTCAGCACTCAACAGAAGTGAGCTGTCAAGCCATAAAAATACATGGAGAAATCTTATGTGCATATTACTACTAAGTGAAAGCAGCCAACTTGAAAAGGCAAAAGTATGGAGACAGTTAAAAAGACCAGTGCTCCTCAGGGATTAGGAGAGGGAAGATGAAGAGGAGAACAGAGGATTTTCAAGGCAGTAAAACTATACCGTATTGTATTAAAAATGGTGGATAACTTTCATTACAGATTCGTCTAAACTCACAGAATCTATAACACTGCAAGTAAACTTTGATGTAAACTATGGGCTTTGGGCAGTAATGTGGTATCAATGTATATTCATCAACTCTAACTTGTGTCCTACTGCGGTGGGGGATATTGATCGGTAGGGGATATTGGTCGTGGGGGAAGTTGGGCCAGTGGGAAGCAGGCAGAGTATATGGGAACTCCATACATTCTGCTCAATTTTGCTATGAACCCAAAACTGCTCTCAAAAAAATAGTATCTGGGCACCTGGGTGGCTCAGTGGGTTAAGCCTCTGCCTTCAGCTCAGGTCATGATCTCGGGGTCCTGGGATTGAGGTCCACATTGGGCTCTCTGCTCAGCGGGGAGCCTGCTTCCCACCGCCCCCTGCCTGCCTGTCTCTTTGCCTCCTTGTGATCTCTGTCAAACAAATAAATAAAATCTTAAAAAAATAAAATAAAATAATATCTATTAAAAAAATAACAACTCGGTGTTCAAGCATTTTATTAAATCAGATGAGGAACTTCCTCCCTGTTGCACATACCAGCTTGGACACAATTTTAAGGGCATATCACTTATTTACAACGATAAAGATGAACAGTAAGTTGGCAAGTCTAATAAGCCATGTTTAGCCAACTGAAATTTCAAGAACATTCAAAGAGAAAACAGTAAAGGTCATGCAAGTTCTACAACAGTGAGTCATGATAGAGCTCACTTCTTTTATCCTTTACCTTCAAAATGTGCTTGACATCTTTAACCAGACAGAATCTTAGTAAGTCCAGCAGGCTGTTGCTAGTCAGACACACATTTCATTCAGGAATAGCAAGCCTCTTACGCCTTACTGGCTTTTTTGATTAGAAGTAACTGAATCCCCACCATAGAAAAGAGGTTTTTGAAGAGATTTACTGCTGTAAATGGAAGATTTACTGCTGTAAATTATTCATATTATGTCTTGAAGTTACTTGAGCTTTCACTTATATATGATTAAGTGTGATACCCGAACCAGGAATCCAGCTATGACCTTTTCACTCAGCTACACTAAATACCAGTTGAAGAGAAAATGCTGTGAAGACTAAACAGATTGAGCAGTGAAGCAATTCAGTGAGGCTGTAATCATCTAGATCTAGGTTAACTTAGGCAGGTGACACTAAGTTTAAGAACCTTAAAAGACCCTATGGACTTTTTCTTAGGTGATGGTTTTAGGGTGAACTACCCTATGACAAACAGCTAATTATCAGGTTTATAATGATGGCTGACAAGAAAATAAAAGTATTTATTCATGTAGCTTCAAACTTATTTGTTCCCATCTATATATAACAGAAAACTACCACATACTAATGGGTAGGTAGACATGATCAAAGATCCTTTCTGCAAGCTTCGCTTTGCTACACCTTTCACTCGCCCCTCCCCCTGAGGCTCCTAGGCCAGTTTCCCTGATTTAAGCTAAAAGGTCAATTCTGGATTCAAACTTGTAGAATTAAGTTTACAGGAGAGAACATGCAAATAAGGGGATAAAGTTAAATTCATCTGTCAACGGCAAACATTATAAATGTATACTACTATCCCACTAAACAGAAGACCTGGAGAAACCACAAATATAACGAAATACTACATTAGGTTTAAAAACAAAGAATCTTGAATAAGTAATTTTATTTTGTAGTGGTTGAATGCACCCACCAAATGCCTAATGACCATAAAATGTTTCTGCAACTAAAACTAAAAGAGAATTATAGGGAGCTGGGAATACATGTTAGATACTAACGATCTTCAAGCTTTGAAGATGTCATTGCATGAAGAAAATTATGGGAAACACTGTTCCCGATAATTACGTACACCCTTAGTGTAACATATGGAGATCACTGTCTCCGATATAGACACTGTGGTAGGCAAAAACTACCTTGTTCTTTATACATTATGGAAGACACTGCTCCCGATAATGTGCGTTAGGTTTGTGACAAAGGTACTGGAAATTTTGCAAAATTCGAGTTAGAGTTACACCTTGGGTAAACTGAGCTGTAAAACTTCACACACGAGTACTATCACAGCCTTTAATGACATTAATTTATTATAATTTGGTCGCAATTTCTTCCCTTTAGGAGAACTGCCATTTTTATCTGGTTGGCTAAACCAAAGTCTAACTTCATTTGCAACCCCCAATTACATGGAATTCTTCAGATATTTAGCTTTAAATTTTTATTTGGCTTGTGGCTGTTTTCTAAAACCCTCGAGTGTTGGCCATAAATGCAAAACTTCCAGTATCTGTTGGGTTTTATTAGCAGATGCTGCTTTTATTAAAAAAAAACGACAGTATAACTGTCATAATTATGGAAGGCACTGCTTCCGATAATTATCTTCTATAAAAAAAACACCATTTATAGTGAACTCTGTCACTGATAAATAAACAATAAATATCTCAGTGCCAAAATGATAGAAAGCTTTTCCAAAAAAGTAACACTTTGGCCAAAATTTGGCAGTGTGTTCTTTAACATCTGACAAACTGAGTTTGAAATTAAACACCTGAAGCTGGTTCTCTTTCAAAATACTTTGGGAAACACAAGAACGACAAAAAACTAAAACAAAGGCTTATGGGGAAGGGGCAGATTAAAAGAAAACATAGGTCTTTGGCTTCTGGTCTCCTCTTTTCATAAATAATCTTGAGGTTAACACATTAAGGCCTTACTCCTGTGATAAACAGTTGAACCTCGTTTTATCCAGCTGAAGGACCTGTTTCAAACCTCATGAGCAAGAAAACAAGTCCCTTCCGAAAGTTAACTGTTTCATTCAGGGATGTGGAAACCAGCTAAATCCTTAAAGAAGGCATGCATTTCATTTGGAGAATGAGGTCTTGCTACCTGGTATCTCCTATCCAACATCAACTGAAAGCAGAGGTTTGCATCAAGCTACTACTTTCGACCTTCAGCAGATAGCGCCCCCCTCCTCCCTCTCAGAAGATACCAGTTCATGTCCTTAGGGTTTAGAGCAGTAATTCATGTAACTGGTTCTAACTTTTTCATAACTAACAAGAAAGAGGCAGTTACCATACAAAGCATTTAAAATTTTAGAGATCTGAAAAGATTCTATCATGAACATTTTTAAATGGTTATTCACTTTAACTTGAAGTGCAGGTACCCACCCTGTATTAAAAGCTGCTGCCTAAAGACATCTAGGAGTACCAAGACGGTTGGGTAGAATTTTAACAATATTAGGTTTTGTAGCCCTACGAGAAATTTAGCACAACCAGCACAAGTCTAGAAATCACACTACCCTGATGATCTTACAGAAGTTATGGACATCACATTTAAAGCTCATTGTCAATGTCCCATATGTCACCAGAGAGAGCATTTGCAGCTCCTTGAATAGTCCAAGTTGCTAGAGCCAACTGGTTTCTCAACAGTGTTTCATTAAAAGCACTGTTATTTTTCTGACGCAGCTTCAAATGCTCTAGTAAAGCTGACAGAGTGTGAGAGCCAGAGCCCCAGAAGATATGCCGGAAAGGAGAATCTCTTGGAGATACATAGGGTGAGAGGAAGTGATATTCCACCTATGGAAACAAAAACATACGAGAACTTACACACACTGCTGGGACTTTCGCTTTGAGGGGGGGACCTGATGTAGTCAAACAACTGTCATTCTCTCACTTGAAATGTTAAAATTCCCCCAAATTTAAGAATATGGAGAACCAGGCTATAATCTTCTAACATTAACAATATAAGGTAAACTGTCAATTCCTTTGTAAATGTGGTATTGGTCTTTTTTAGTTGCAGCCTGGTTATGGAAGATTAGTAAGTTCCCACTGTGATCAAGTCTCCTACTTCTTCCAAACAGATTAAGATAAAAGCAGTTAAGGCCTGAATTAGGAAAGGGAATACAGAGAAAATGACAGCTACAAATCATTAATGATCCCTTCCCTAAAATGTTTTTAAAACCTAAAAGTGTTAATACCAGGTCAAAAGCCTTTAGAACTTCCAGTTTGGATACACCAGTTCTAGGTCTTGCTAATGAGAGTTGAAACTCTGGGCTCAATTCTAAAGCAGCAAAGGATTCTAGGCTCCTGGAATTACCACTTTACTTTTTAGAAGTTTTACCAACAAAAAAGTAACATACTTCAGTTCTTTTTCAGACATATACTTACTTTCATGATACGGTCATTGATCTCCCTCATAACATATCTGTTCGTTCTCTCCGCGTTCTTATAATCTGTTGTTAGTCTGGAGGTGGCGCGGAAGAAGTCCCCACGAGCAGAATACAGCCACTGTAGGTTCAGACCCATCTCCTGAAGCAGAAAGACATGAAACTCCCTATTAGACGTTCTATTTCTAAGGATATTACTCTATATTTCTTTCTAATTTAGTGGTAGCAGATGAGATGGTTCTGATAAAAGGGGGTGACTCGTGGACAGAGAAATGCTAGACTTAGGCACCTTGCCCAGGAGGTCCCTGGCTTTATGAACTAGAGTAATACACTGGTATCTGAAACCAGCAGATGGCAGTTACACATTCTTAGTCTCCCAAGGAAGCCATCCTCCTTGAGAATTTAACGAGATTAACAGTCCTGTGTAGTATCCAGTTTCCAGGCCAATCTGCTGATGGAAAATCTTAACCATTTTGGCTCAATGAACTTAAGTCTAGAGATTTTTCTCAAAAGTCCCATTTTCTGATCAGTTATAATTAGTTTCAAGTTTTGAGAAAGCCATAATCATTAAGATTTATCAGTGATTTACTTCATTTAAGTGATCTGTTGACTTCTAGTACCACAACACCAATTAGAAACCACATATTATTAATTTGACTTTATCAAGCATTTGAATACTAGACACGCAGGAACACTAAGACTGTAACTACCGGCTATGCGCTCTCTCCATCCTTGACATCCCTGAAAGGCATATATGACATACAGCACAAACTCACAGGTCCAACCAGAGTCATGGCTGAGATCTTTATATTCTCTGAGACCTCTTTACAGGTTGCTTGGAATTACATAAATGTAACATACCTTAGGCTAATTATATTCTGAAATACTTGCTCTGTTGTATCCTAGCTTTATAACCCACAGCCTCTCAACTTTCCTTTCAAATGAGTTATAAATTCTAAGAAAAATTATACATTAGTTCACTTTAAAATGTACTTTGGCTACCAATCATGTCCCTTAGGAACAGTTAATTATTCTTCAAGCTATTTCAGTAGTAAGAACCTGATATTAATTAGTACTCACCTTTATGTCTGTTCTGAATCGGTTCATATCCCTCACAAATGAAAGTATTTTGTCATTATACATCTCATAGTTCAGGTTCAATTCAAGATCATAGGTAAGTTTCATTATGAGCTGAGCAGCGAATTCTGCTGCTCCACGTGCCATTTCGCTCAACCGAGGAATTTTCTTTTCCAGTTCCTCATAGACATCCATGGTAGTACCCAAATAAGGATAATATGTGTCCTGAAAAACAAAGCTAGGTAAATGTACTCACCAGTGGATCCTAAGAGCAGGAGCCACACATTCATTTTACAATCAAGGTTAATAGTAGTACCAATTCTTCCCTTGCTTCTAATGTATTTCTACTCTGATTTTATCTCCCATCCACTACTTTGGTACCGCTTTTGCTACTTCCTCTGAACCTAACCTCCTTGAATAACTGCTTTCTTCTAGGTCTTAGAGAATCCCTGTTCTATTGCATCATATACCCTGAAGATAAGTCTAGCCAGATTTCTTGAGGTTGTATCCTTATTTTCCTCTCTGGGAAGTTTGACCCATTAGATAAGGACAGCACACATGAAGTGTGCTTTTGATATAAAGTGTCACACTTCAGACTAAAACTGACCTCCTTTCTAATGATTCAGCACTCAATCCATTCATACATGCTACCCTTTCTAACAAAAGTTCCCTCTACCTTCATTAGACAATTTAAGTTAACTATTTTTTCAACTCTATTTCCTACCATTGTCCTTGGTGATAATCTCACTGACATTCCTTTGATCTGACTGCATTCTTTACTTCTGGACTATACAATTCTGTATTACCCGCTAGGTTTCTAGTATCTTAAGAAGTCAGTAAGAAGTTTTTTAAAAACCTTCTGGAGGTCAACAGAAATCATCCTTAAATCTCAACCCTAGAACCAGACATTCAGTTCTTTCTAATGTCCTAAACAAATACTGTGACCAACTATTTCAATGCTATCCATACCGCTGTTCTAGCAGAAGGTCAAGAGAATTCCAGCTAGGTTAACCTCCAAATCCAGATCTTACTTACATCAGTCCCTTGCTTCAGACCTTTCCCCTCCTAGTCCCAGGCCAAACATCCAGGGATAAAAAGTCATGTGAGGACCTGTCCTCCGTGGGATCAATAATTTGATGTCAAAGTCAACAGCTCCCAGCTGACTCTAGGATCTTTTCATCCCTTGGAGAGCCCATTCCAGGGCTGGCTTTCCAACTTCACCACTTCAGCACAGAGGCCTTCATCCTTCTATTTACTCAGAGTAGCCTTCAGTGCCTTCTAACTGGCTCCTGAAACAAGTCAATCTTGCTTTCCTACAACTTGGTCTGTTCAAAGTTCAGTCTCGTAACAACCTGATATCTGTTGGTTTTGTGCTTTTACCCATAATCCCTGTTTAAGAGATTAACATCTCTAGACAAACATCTAGAACCGTATCTTAACAGGTATCAAGTACAGCAATGTCCAGGTGAACCTTCTGTTTGGTGGAAATTTTCTTACCTGCACTGTCCAATAGGTAGCCTTGTTACTAAAAATCATATCAAATTGAAGATGTTTTAGCAAATAAATTCAACTGCTAATTAAGCTAATAGAGAACAATTCTATCTGATAATAAGGGAGTATGCAATAACTGCATGTGTAGAACTTCTGAAAATATTTTAAGTACTCTAGGTCTCAAAATTGATGAAAGAAGATCAAAAATATGACTTCAGAGTTCAGACTTACCTCACAAAAACAGAAAGAAACTGCTGGGATTCCAGAATATGCAAGGAAAGGGAAAGCAGCATTATCCAAAGAAAATTCCTCGCTGAAAGGAAAGCAAGAATGTGTCTCTAGAAAGTTTTCTAAAGAGCAGACTGTGCTATCATGCAACCCTACCCCTATCCCCAAATAAATTCTTAAATTGACCCCAAGTATAGGTAAGCTCACTGCAAGGTTAGGTTTACATTTCTACCATAGTAGGTGTCACTGGATAATTCTGCTTTTCTATAAGCTGTTCATTAACTTTTCTCAACTTACACTTTGTTGAACCAGTTGCTGTCCCGATAAAGAGACTGCCCAGTAACTGGATGTTTTACCTGTAAAATAAAAGTTAATGTCACTAAAATGAATCTTTCTGAACATAGTTATTCAGCCTGGTCAGAACCATTTAGATCTATATACATTTATTTAAAAAGATTTATTGTTATCTTCTTGAAAATATTTAAGACTGGTAAAACAATCTCAAATTTCTAAAAAGTTATTCCTACTAGGCTCATGCTGTCATAGAGTTCCTTCAGTTACGAGAAAAAAATATTCTCCTTAAACCATTTTAAAGGTGGCTTTGCCACAATTTTAAAAGCCCTTTCTACCTTCATGATAGGTCTGCCTTGTTTCTGGTCCTTCTAGCTCATTTTATACTACTGCTGCCTAACCTGCAAACACATTACTGCCTTGCTGGAGACTCTAAAACAATTCCCAGTTTCCCACAGGATCAAGGCCAAGTTCTCTGACCCTTGTTCTTTCCATCTTTAATCATTCTGAGCCTGAGTGGCTCAGCTGGTTAAGCGTCTACCTCCGGCTCAGGTCATGATCTCAGGGTCCTCAGAAGGGAGTTTGATTCTCTCTCTCCCTCTGTGCTCTCTTTCAAGTAAAATAAAATCTTTAAAATATTTTTCTGATATATATGGACTCTAAGCCCATTAGCCAAATCTTATTCCTCCCTATTGCAAAACTATGGTCATTCACATGTCTGTATTTACTCAATGAATATTTCATTTGGTCTTTTTATTTACATATTAGGTATAGTTCAAGTTCATTTTTTTTTTAGTTTTTAAAAGAGTTTATATTTTAAGTAATCTCTACATCCAACATGGGGCTCGAACTCACAACCCTGAGATCAAGAGTTGCACACTCTACCAGATGAGCCAGCCAGGTGCCCCCTCCAGTTCATTTAAAGCTTCCTTAACATTCTGACTCTACAGACAACCCCCACTGGACACCCATAGTACAGCTTAGGCCTCAGGAAATTCTGCAGTATTCCCAAAGAGACTACCTATTTTTTGAGATCAGAGCCTTTCATATACCACACATCCCTTATATTTACTAAGTAAATAGTTTACCCTCACCTCACATGTTCAATAGGCAGAGCAAATAAGCCAGGAGCAGAACTTAATGCTGCTATAGAATTTATTCTAAATTCCTCTAATTAGCTACTTATGACGGTTTAAATATTATTTTCCATCTTACTGTAAATTACATAAAAAATTAAGTTACAGATTTTGTAATTAGGTATACACTCACATCTTTCATCGTTTTCTCAATAAGCGAATACAACAGTGGGCTGGCAGAAACCTTGAAGCTGTTGGTACCTGCAAAGAGATTATTTTAACATTGCCCCTTCTCTAGTCAAGTAATTTTTACACGGCTACTTCTACAACCAAAAGTACTTGACATAAAAGGAAGACAGTAACCTAGGTAAGTGCCAAATACAACTACCTCCTTTAAGAACTAGACAAAAGGTGATTAAGAGTCAACTTCTTTAGTAACTGAAACCCTAATCTGACTCAACTGATGCTCATACCCTCTCAGCTGGCAAGAGTTAATTATTTGGTTTTTGGTACCTTTCTAGTTCACCTAATTAGGACAGTCATCTGCTAGCTACCATCTACTTCCTACACTCCAAAACATTCTGCCTGTCTACAGGTAAGACAGCAATAATAATCTAATTAAAAATTTAGTTCAATTTTAACTCCTTCCTCTTTCCAATGAGATACTTTACTATTCAATTCATCCACTGGCTACATCTGCACTTTTAACAACACTCAACTCTTTTAGAATTTGATTATCTGGTATTTCTATTCGTGATGCCACCATCTAGCTTGATGTGAATTAGTCTCTAGAAGTACTATTCTATACAGTACGGTGTGGTTCCTTTTGGTCTAAAAAATAGTCCAGACTCATGGTTCTGAGAATCACCCGGAGTGCTTGTTAAAACAAAGTATGCCCGGGGCACCTGGGTGGCTCAGTGGGTTAAAGCCTCTGCCTTGGCTCAGTTCATGATCCCAGGGTCCTGGGATCGAGCCCCACATTGGGCTCTCTGCTCAGCAGGGAGCCTGCTTCCCTTCCTCTCTTCTGCCTGCCTGACTACTTGTAATCTCTGTCTATCAAATAAGTAAATAAATAAATCTTTAAAAAACAAAGTATGCTGAACTTATGCTTCAATTTCAGACTCAAAAGGTCTAAAATTTTACATTGCTAACAGTTCCCAGGTGATCCTAATGCTGCTAATTGAGGGCTACACTGGGAACCACTGCACTGAAAAAGACAATCTGTACCCATTCTATAATTTAATGGATTACTAAGAGAAAGCTACAGTCAGTCTTGATTAGGGAATGATGTAAATTGTAAAAAATAATGAACGTTGCTGTGAAAGACTTTCTTCTGTTTTACAAGTTTATCTAAATTCATAAACAGCTAATAAAAAGGATACTTACCAAGAACAGCTTTATCTAGATTAATGTAGGTGAAAGCCTTTAAATGCAAGGAGGAAAGGTATCCCTAGAAGAGAAGGAAAAATACTAAATGTACTAACATGTATTAATCTGTCACATGGAGCAGCTATTATTAGGGATACCTTTTTAAATTTAATCTTTTGAGACTAAAAATACAAAGGCAAAAATGATATACAGTTGACTCTCCTAACGTGGGGGTTGGGGCACTGACCTCCCACACAACTGAAAACCCACCTATAATTTTTGACCCCCCAAAACTGAACTACCTAACTTAAAGCTACAGGAAGCTTTACCAATAACAGTTAACACATATTTTGTAGGTTCTATGCATCATATATTGTGTTCTTACAATAAAGTAAGCTAGAGTAAAGAAAATGCTAAGAAAATCATAAGAGAAAATACTTAGAGGATGTACTTGTATATATTTACATATATTGTGTTTATAAATACATTGTATTTCTTTTTTTTAAAAGCCACATATATGTGAACCTGCACAGCTCAAACCTGTGTTGTTCAGGATCAACTGTAATCAAATCTAAAAAGCATGGTTTCTGGAGGATAAATTAAGCCCGGATGAGTTCAGCTGCCCATTCTGGGTTATGGGTGATGTACAGTAATACCTCTAGCCATTCAGTGGCACCAATTGCTCCAAAGTCTCCAGCACTCCAGCTGGCAAAGACAATGCTTCTGCTGGGTCTAAAGCCATCTAAAAGATAACAAAAAAGATAACAAAAAGTTAGTTTAACCTTGGGACAGGTTATAGGTAGGCAACTGACCTAAGATGAAACCAGAAATTTCTAATTCAAGATAGCAGATTAAAAAATATTTCTCTTTTGAGGCCCCAAGTCAAGGAACAAAAATAAAAATTTTTTGAAAGTAATCTACAAGGAACAGGGTAGGAGATCACTGGCAAGATTTCATATACATGGCAGGTACCAATTTTTATAGGAAGTCACTTTTTTCCAACTCTATTCTTTGAGCCCCTTAACTTCTGGACCAAAGAATCCTTGAGATTATGGTGTAGCTATAATGTGTACCTTCTCTGAAAACAATCTGCATAGAGGTCAGTCACTTAAAACGCTGGGTTACTTTACAAACCACTTACGAAATAGAAAAATTGACACATTTAAGTTATAGAGTTTTCAGAGAAATTACATTAGTGACTATGTGCTACTGCCCTCCATTCCTCCCCTTTCCTTATGTATGTATTTTTCTGTATTATGTACTTCTGCATAAAGTTAAGCATTGCCAACTTACCCTATGACCCAAAGATTCAAGGTAATGGGAGTTTGTGTGGGGGTGTGTGCAGAGAAATGGCAGCAAGTACCAAGGGAGAAAGGCTTGAAAGTATTTACATATTATAAACATATAGGAACATATCTAGTATTCTAAGTATAATACAAAATTACATATTATAACTTTTTTAAAGATTTTATTTATTTGGGGGCACCTGGGGGTCTCAGTGGGTCAAAGCCTCTGCCTTCGGCTCAGGTCATGATCTCAGGGTCCTGGGATCGAGCCCGACATCGGGCTCTCTGCTCGGTGGGAAGCTTGTATCCCCTTTCTCTCTCTGCCTCCCTCTGTCTACTTATGATCTCTGTCAAATAAATAAGATCTTTAAAAAAAAAAAAGATTTTATTTGACAGAAAGAGACAGCAAGAAAGGGAACACAGGCAAGGGGAGTGGGAGTGGAAGAAGCAGGCTTCCCACTGAGCAGGGAGCCCAATACAGGGCTCAATCCCAGGACGCTGGGATCATGACCTGAGCCAAAGGCAGACGCTGATGACTGAGCCACCCAGGCACCCCTACATATTGTAATTTTATTTTATTATTTTGACAGACAGAGATCACAAGTAGGCAGAGAGGCAGGCGGGCGGAGGGGGTGGGGGGAAGCAGGCTCTCTGCTGAGCAAAGAGCCCGATGTGGGGCTTGATCCCAGGATGCTGAGATCATGACCTGAGCCGAAAGCAGAGGCTTAACCCACTGAGCAATCCAGGCACCCCTAAAATTTTATAACAAAATTATAGAAAATTAGTACAGAGGTACACCATATACCACTGCTTCCTTTAAAATAGGATTCCTTAGGGACCATGCTAGATTTGCCGTACCATTCTGAATATGTCAAACTAAAAATTAGGGTCCAATACATTTTTTTGGTGTCTCAAAAGAATTGATTCCCAGTGTGATGACGACACTGCATGGAAAGCTGTTTCAAAGTCAAAGGCAGATCCAATAAAAGCCAATCCTGCTTTGCACCTAAGAACTCAAGAGTCTGGCATAAGTGAACCATAATAATATAGGCAAAAGTGAGAAAGCATAAAATATTTAGAAATATATATAGCACATAGATATTCAAGTTCTCAAAATTTGTACTGTACCTTTTAAGACCATATCAGAAAATATCTGGGCAAGCTCCAATAGGAGAGTTGTTCCCACACTAGACTTCGCAGCTCCAGGACCCCAGGCATCCCTCTGAGCCCCTATTACAACATAGCGATCTTAAAGAAAAAGAAAAAGATAAATTATACAATCAACTTTTAAACTGTTTTCTAATATTGAACTCTAAAATAATCATGTTAGTCAAAAGGGTAAAAACGCAATATATGCTCTAAGGGTAAGCTATTTCATCTCTGACTTACAACTCTGGGAATTAAAAGTTCACGTGACAATACTGATCTTTTTCCTTATTAGTATTGCTACTCTTTCCACATTACCAATTAAGTTTACTTATCAGCCACCTATTAGTGCCCACTAACTGTTTAATAAGCAACCAAAGTCCAAAGGCTTTCCTTAATAAATGATAGGACTATTAGATTTCACTTAACTAGATGGCCTATTCAAGGGGTCAGTAGTAAATCACAGCCTATGTGCACATTTATTACATATCATTTATGGCTGGTTTCATGCTGCAATGTTGTTGGAATTAAGTAGTTGCCACAGACTGATAGCCTGCAACATGTTTATTATCTGCCCCCTTCAAAGAAATGTGCTTATGGCCGATCTATTCAGTAACTTAAAAGAGATTTTCTAGGGGCACCTGGGTGGCTCAGTGGGTTAAGCCGCTGCCTTCGGCTCAGGTCATGATCTCAGAGTCCTGGGATCGAGCCCCGCATCGGGCTCTCTGCTCTCTAGGGGAGCCTGCTTCCTCCTCTCTCTCTGCCTGCCTCTCTGCCTGCTTGTGATCTCTCTGTCAAATAAATAAATAAAATCTTTAAAAAAAAAAAAGATTTTTCTAGTCATAATGGTCAGTTTTGACAAGTTAGTTTCCTAGGGTCTTATTATCTCCCAATAAAACTGTCACCTTAAATAAACAGCTTAAGGACAGACAGGAGTTAGCACTCCACAAAATCAAGCCAAAGCCAGCCTTCCTGCATTGCCTCTTCTGGCCACATTCTGAAGAACTAGGAAAACACAACCAAAACAAAAACAAGGGTCTTTACCAGGTTCTTCAAAACCTTTAATAACTCCAAAAACGTTAAAAATTCTTATCTCTTTCAGCACATTATTCACAGTGAGCTTCACGTTCCTGTTCTGGGAAGTCTCCAGCCTGCACGAGGAGTCTGTTTCCCAGGCAGAAGGACAGTCTCCTTCCATATTTCTGGAAGAAAGGGACATCAGAGTTACCGTTGCTTCCCGCAGGCTTTCAAAATCAGTCTTCCTTACTGCCAGGGCAAGTCTAGGCTAAGAGGACATAAGAAAACATATACAAAATTTGCTCCTTGGTGGCCAACCACTTCTGTCTTACTTGGACCTGTAGGCAATCATTTGAAAAATCAGTTACCTCCAAGTTTAACCAATGTTTAAAATTTTCTCTATCTATTCTCATCCGACCCATGCCTTTCTGCCAGAGACAGTTATAACTTACATTTTAAGTAGATACCAAGATGGACTCAGAATGAAGTTCTTACATACAAGCCCATTAATAGATTCCCATGTTTCCTCACTCTCTACTAACCAGTATACATTCTTATCTTAGTTATAAAAGAATATTTTCATGCTGCTGATAGATAGGAATCTTCCTCTATTGAGTTCCTCATGTTATCCAAACAATGCTCTACTTATAGATGTATGTCAAAACATTATTACCCCCCACTACACAAGGTAAGATAGGGAGCTGGCTTGATAGGTTAGGGAAGACTTGTAAGTGGTGATAAGAACGATAAAAATCGCCTATTAAAAATGCCTCGCAGATAGCATTGTTAATAGTCACATAGTATTATACCGGTACTCTTACATGTAGATGCTCTTCATTTGAAACCCATCACCCTGTTAAGCTGAATATATTTCAACTATCTAAGTCAGAGAAACATGATCAGTGGGGTTAGAGTAACTTGTTCTACGTCACACAGCAAATAAATGCTCACGTAAGTGTCTGAGACTAGATCTATATCCTATGCCAATACCAGGTGGGAAATATGTCCAGCTCAAGATAAAAATTAATGCCAAGTACTCTAATCAGACTGGGTTCTACTATTAACGAGGGATACTACTACATTAGGGAGGATATCCAGAACTACTCATGACTATAAAGCATCTGGAAACTGTCATGAGAACTGAAGATAATCAATCTACGGACTAGAAAACTGGAACTGTTCTGTTGCTAAGAAGAAAATCCAGAAGTAATGCATGTTACAGGGAGTAAGATTTCAGCTCAACAACAATTTTAACAGATCTACTCCAATAAGTGAATGGGTTGCCACAGGCAGCAAAGTGCTTTACCTCAGGAAGTCCTCAAGCAGAAGGCAGGCCAGGAATAGTACACAAGGAATTCACTGGGTACACTGAGCAAGGACTGGCTGAGTTTATAAATCCAATGTCTAATTATTAAGATCACTTTATGGAGGAAAACATTCATGTTTATCTACAAGTTAACAGCTATCCACCCCACAATATGCCAAATAGGGAAAATTATAGCCAATTGTTTTAAATGTTATCAAATTAAAATGATTATTATTCCTTTTTATTTATAAAACTGGTTTTCAAATAAGAGAGCTTTCCAATAAGAACTTACTCAAACAACTTTTCTGCAGCAGCTCTGGAAATTGTTTGGACAGGAATGCTGGGCAATCCTGATGACTGGGATGGTGGAAACTGAGTGTGATTGAAAGAAGGGAATCCAGGTGTGTACGGGTCACCTGTTCCCAAGTGAGCCTGGTAAAATAAAAGAATAATGCGCTCTGTCAGGTCAGGCATTTGTTCAAGAAATCCCCAGAAGATTCAGATTTAGTATGAGGGTAAAGCTTAAATTTAGTTTAGTGCCTCAAAGCCTAATGGTCTGAGTGGCCTACAACACGTGACTCTTATCTTTATATGGCATGTGCCGAAATTCCCAATTCAAGTCACTGTTGAGAAGGTTCCATTAGCAATAATAACTAGGTCTCAAAAGTCACATCCATCTTCTTGTAAGTGCTAGACTCTCACAGAAAAAAAGAGCATTTAAGGAAGGCATGTTGTACTTCTAATGCAGACAGAACTCAGCAACAATTTGTAGAACCATTTACTTAAGAAAAAACTCACATGGCCAAATACTGGAGTCTTTGCATTAATAATGGGAAATCTAGTCTGGTCCATGTATATCAAGACCCCAATTGCACTGAATCTTTGAGCATTTGCAACCTGAAGGAAAACATGTAAAGATCAGAAAATGAAGAGGTAATCACACAAAAATCAGAAGATATGTATTGGGCTTTATGCTAAGACAAAGGGTTACAGAGGACAGCACCAGAACTCCCCAATGTTTCAAAGAGCTTATACATTGAGACAAAATTCTTGCCTTAACTAACTCATCAAGGAGTTTCTTTTTTTTTTTTTTTTCATCAAGGAGTTTCAAAAACAAATAATAAAAACCTATTCAACACAACCACTATCTTTTGCTATGTTCCATTCTAGGCTCTTACGGAGCTCTGACTTTTAATTCTCCTTTTCATAAAACATAGTTATAACTGAATTCTCTATATACATAAAACTCAGTTATATAGAATGTAACAAAGCACCTTAATTTAACAATTGAACAATCCTATATAACAGAATATTGTTATTTTAAATTTAAACTCCCTTCACTTAAGCATTTCTGATTACTTCTTTTTCACTGAAAGACAATGACTGCAGAATACTCCAAGTGGCTATGCCATAGTTTTACAAGTGTCCTACAGTTTAGAGAATTACAATTTGTTGAACACTTTAATTATTAGGTATGAGTTTAAGACTGAGTTTTCAGAATGTAAAAAAAAACAATACTATTTAAATGAAAACTAGTATGTATTCAAGAACTTAAACTCACCTTTTCAGCAAAAGTGATTTTCCCTGCTCTAACAATCACTAAAGATCCATTCACATGAGAGTTTAAATTTTCAAAGTCTTTTTTTGTGCCAAAATTAGCATGGACCAGTCTACCCTAGAATAAAAACAGAGTTCAACGAGCATTAGGGTAACTAGAACAACCACAGAGTCTAAGACAGGATGGTTTTACAGATGAAACCCAAGAGAGAAAACAAGAGACAAAAAAGGATGCCCAAGCCTAGAAAGGATGTAAGAGATTTCTATTTGAACTGGTCAGTTATCAGGAGTGAATCAAGAGTTCTGGTCCCCTATATTCATGTCTTGTATCATCGCATGCTGCCTTTAATTTGCACTGACTTACTGACATTTAATCTCTTTTACATTGCTTCTAATATCTGGGGGAAGAGAAAAGCTAACAGAATATGATAAACACGGGGCGCCTGGGTGGCTCAGTGGGTTAAAGCCTCTGCCTTTGGCTCAGGCCATGATCCCAGAGTCCTGGGATCGAGCCCCGCATCGGGCTCTCTGCTCAGCAGGGAGCCTGCTTTCTCCTCTCTCTCCCTCTGCCTGCCTCTCTGCCTATTTGTAATCTCTGTCAAATAAACAAATAAATAAATAAAAATCTTTAAAAAAAAAAAAGAGTATGATAAACAAAGAGACAACCAATATAAATACTGTAGGCTAGTCCTGGCAGCACCAATTACATAAAGTTCCTAACAAGTGAATGCTAGATAATTAAGGACATACATAGGAACGGGTCTTACCAAAAGTTCTGATAATAAACCTGTGTGAAAACTATTAAATACTACTACAATAATAAAGTGACTTGCATAGATCAACTTTTAGGTGTCTATAAAAGCTGTCTCATAATGTTCCTAAATTCTATTAGAGCAATCAACTGACTTTGACAACCAAATATCCAAATACAGGACAGCCTGCAGATGAACTAAAACCCTCAATGTTCTTTTCTCTTTCTAATTAATTTGAGAGAGAGAGAGAGAGAAAAGGGGGATGTGGGAGGAGGGGGAGAGGGAGAGAGAGTGACAAGCAGACTCCATGCTCAGTGTGGAACCCCACATGGGGCTCAATCTCACCAGTCTGAGATTAAGACCTGAGCTGAAACCAAGAGTTGGATGCTTAACTGACTGTAACCCCAAACTCTCAATGTTCTTTGCCAGAAGTGCACCCATCTCCAACCCCTAGTTTGTAGGTAGCCAGGTAAAGTGATACGGCACAGGTAAGACTTCATCTGGCTTGGAAAGCACCCACTAGATAGACCCCTGACATACAAACATGTTTTCTCACCTGAAAAACCTAGATAGATCTGTTTTTTAATTTCTGTAGTAGTTTGGCCATATTTGCCTAAATTTAAAAAATGATCAAGCATTAAAGAGTCAAGCTAAGACTAGACTCTAGCCAAAATGGTTACTTCTGTCCCCACATGGCATCTTGATTATCCACTTTCAGCATACACCACTATGTCAGGCACTGTGCAGGGCTCTGTGACATAGCAGTACAGAAAGCCAACCTCTAGCTCTCCGTGTAGCTTACATTCTAGTGTGGAAAATGTCAGGTGTGTTAAGTTCCATGAAGAAAAATAAAGCAGGATAAGGGGAATTGATTGAAGGAAGGCCATTTTTACCAAGATAATTAAGGAAGACACTTCCCCCTAAAGAGGTTAACAGTGGAGAAGAGACTTACACAAAATGAAGAAAAGACCATGTTGGTTTTTAAGGGAAGCGTGGGGCTGGCAGAAGGAAAAGTAAGTTTTATAAAGGCCTTGAGGTGGAAGCATGCCTGTGTTTTAGAGTTTGAGAACACCAGGGAAGCTGGGATGGCCAGAGCACAGTGAAGGAGGAAAAGAGCAGGCAGATGACTTAGGGCCCTTGCTGTCCTATTTGAGAACCTGGGATTTTACTTTCACTGTGGTATAGAAGGGTTGAGAACAATAGTATCTCACGATCAGGGACATTTTACAAGTAAATTTACACCAAAATTCCTACGAAAGTAACAGTGAGTTTCTGAGCTATTCAGCAGGGAAAACAATTTCATGTACTGTTTTGCCTTACTTACTGTAAGGGTCGCTGCCTTACTGTATGCCACGTAACCCTCAGGACTCTCTACCGGGTATACCACACCACTGTCCGTGTCCACTATGGTCACCGAGTTCTGAGCACTGCTAAAAAGATTAAGTTAAAGTGAAACTAAAGGTAAGGACAACCTTGGGGAAAAAATTAAATGGCTTTAATACATTTAGTATTTGACATGCATTATTTACTATGAAAGTGCTGTATTAGCAGACCTGAAAATAGCTACTTACATAAAAATCAGTTTACCATCTTTCAACATACCTGCTTTTGACCTGAATCTTAACAAAATGTTCATCACGCCAAATTTTGCTAAGTAGAAATGCACGGAATTGATTCTCAATGAAAAAAGCAAGGCTTTCATCTTTTTGAGATCCCGCCTCACGAGGGACATAGGTGTTTTCATTCAGCAGCCTAGAGGAAAAACCATCACTGTTAAATGAACTGAAATTTTATTTAAAATAAACCGTGAACTCAAATATCAAGCAAATTGTTTTAAAAGCATAACTCAATACTAGTCATAGCTAAGATAAATTAACTGTGACCCAAAATTTCTGGACTGACTAAAGGCAAACTTAGGGGGAAAAAATGGCCAACTATCTGAAGGTATTTAGGTCTTCAGCTTGTTAAAAACCTCTTTTATCCTAGTAAAGTGGTCCTTCAAGAGCTCCATCCTAAGGGGGTACCTGCTTAGGGTAGCTTTAGGGGAAATGAGTAGTTTCCAAGAAATCTGTTGTAAGCAAAATAAAGATAGTGTTACTGTTGGTGAACTCAAGTACAGCTTTAATTTTCACCTACTTTGAAGCAAAACTACAGCTTGTTCTGGTCTCCTATGTCTCATTGTAAATATATATAGATCATATAGATTTTTTTCTTTTGTAAACTACACTCTCATTTTATCTATAAGGCCTGGTATATATATAGTATACACTAAAGTATTCACTAGATGAAGTAAAAATGCCAAGATTCCTAACCTAAGATTAAGAGAATTACTCTATCACTGAAACTGTGGGAAGCCAGCTAAAAGGTGAAGGATGAATACATCCTTTACACAGAGTTAGGTAAGTTTCTAAGGAAGATCTTAAAAACTGAAGGACAGGAACCTTAAGGACACTTCTTAGGGTATGGATTAATGAGAACCAGAAGAAATCAAGGAGTACTAAAGACATGATATGTCTCTGTATCAAGTCAGGCAGTCAAATTAGTCCTGATCTCAAAAATAAAGGCTACTTACTGATACCTTTGTGGATAGTAGCAAAGCACAGCATGACTTACAAGGGGTTAAGATGCAAAATCAAAGCAGAAGAGTCTGACACAGGGAACAGACTATAAAGGGAGCCAGATGACAAAAAGATCAAAGACCTATGATTTTTTTTTTTAAAGGAAAGGGAGTGTCCTCACAAGTTCTTTTTCCCATCTGAGGGTTTGAATTCCTTACTAATTGCTTTCCCTCCAGCTGAACACAGGGGGAGGCCTGCCCTAACTCTAAGGCTTTCCTCCAGACTGTCACATTTGTTTTGTTGAACTGTTCTGAGTAATTGATATTTGTTTAAATATGGAGATTAAATTTGTGAAGTAGCTCAAGCTTACCTCATGGTGGTGAGGAACTCTGTGTTGTGCAGTCTCTCTAACAACTTTTTTTTGAGGTCTGCCCAAAATAAGCGAGAAGGTGTTTCAGGGAAGTACTCTTCTGTTTCTGAAGGTTCTGTTCCCTCTGTCTCCAGAGACTCCGTTCCTGATGGTCTCTCACATTCAGCTTTTGGTTCCACACGCTTACAATAGCCCAAGTAGCCAATCATAAATCCTACAGATAAAGTTTCACAGCTGAACTCAGAATTTCCTTTATAATATATTCCTATAGGAACTGTTAATATTTTTAGCTAAGCCTTGAAAATACAGGTTTATTCAAACTGTAAGCAAACAGTTTGAAAGTAAATAATAAAATCTCAGTTTTTTATGTTTTAAACCACTGAATCTAATAAATCATACGGTTGACTCTTGAACAATGTTGGGGGTGGTTTTAGGGTGTAAACCCCCACATAGTGAAAAATCTGCATATAACTTTTGACTCTCCAAAAACGTTAATTACTAATAGCATATTGTTGCCCAGAAGCCTTATGATGACATAATCAATTAACACATATTTTGTACATACACAGGTTACTTACATGCATACATATGTGAATACAGTATATTCTTACAACAATACCTATCTTTTTCTTAACTTTTTCAGTATTTCTAGGCTATGCAGTTGGTAAATTCTTTCAAATTGTCACAAATCTCCAAAAAATTTTCCAATATATTCATTGAAAAAAATCTGCATGTAAGTGGACTGTGTAGGTTCAAGCCTATGTTGTTCAAGAGTCAAATGTGTAAGAACTTTAAATAGTTACTTTTTTCATTTAACTAATCTCCACACCCAACATAGGGCTTGAACTCATCACCCCAAAATCAAGTCACATGCTTTACTGAGCCAGCCACATGTCCCTCAATAATTACCTTTTTAAGACATAGGTAACTTTTCTTCCCAGAAGCCTTCCTTAAATCCTTACGGCAAGCTTGTATGCTACAAATATTCTGTGTGTATTTCTAGTACAACATTGGCACATTTTAATGCAATGATTCCTGTGTCTCTCCCCCCACACAAGGCTCAATTCAAGGCAGGCTTAGAATCTCAATCATCATTATATTCCTAGCGCCTAGCATAATGGCACACAAAAAGGTACAAAATATGTTTGCTTAGCTGAATTAACAGACCTCCTAGAGTCAGTGACAAGGAACATTTAAGTTTAGAATGGCCACTCTTACCAATCAAGAAAAAGAGGACTACAGCAATAGTCCCATAGCAGATAAATCCATTCAACCTTTTTGGTTTTGTGACACTGGCATGATTACCCCTCACGTTATTTTCAACATTTTCTTCTTCATCTGCAGCTAGTTTCATCTCCACATGACTGTTATCACCATCTACTTGCCGTGCCAGACTAAACCGGGTATAGGACAATGGTTCTCCACCAAACTGAGATTTGAAAAAAAGAGGGAAAAAAAGCATTATGAAAGAGAAGAAAGGGAAGAGGAACATTTACAAAAAGTTTGGTTAGGTACTATACTTACTATTGGGCCATTATTGGGACTTGCTATATATTCTTAAGGAAAAAGAAGTTCCTCTTTCAAAGCAACATTCTTCCCTATGCCCTGTTCTGTCCATGGCAGATGAGGGCTAGATCACACACTGGCCTTTATCTCATTCAGCCTTTTCATTCGGGGTGTCTGTTATGTATTTTTAACATAGGTATACATGTTATACAGTGCTTTCTTAAGTTCCTCTTATCTACTTGGCTGTCCCCCTCGCACCACACCCAAAAAATACCCTGAAAGTTCTTAAAGGAATTTTCAAGTTCACTCTACTCAAGACTGAATATACCCTTCCTCTGTGGGAACAGTTATATCTCAAGACTACCACTTCAAGATAAACAAATACTTTATGATACCTTTGGATAGGACTTCATGATTACTGGGTAAGAGTCATTCTTGTATACTTCATATTCTCACAAACTGGTGACAAGAAATACAACTTAAAATATCTTACCAAAGTAGAGAATGCTGATCTGGCTTGATCCATCATTCTGAGCTGCCACACAGAAGAGCCTAGTATTAAAACAGAAAATTAATGTGAGATAGATACCACTGTATTATTATACAAATTTACTTTTAAATATATTATCACCTTTCTAGAAAGGGTCTTTAACAAAGACATTTAGTTTATATGACAGCTAAATTTAGTGTAATCCTTGATTAGATCCTGAAGTGGGGGGGGGGACAAACTATATCATTGGGAGAAATAAATCTAAATACAGACTATATACTGGATAACAATACTGTATCAGTGTTAGATTTGGAGAGTGCAATAATGGTATTCTGTTTTTGGAGGAGAAAGCCCTTGTTTTTAGGAAATTAATACTGAAGATTTTAAGAATGAAGTATCAGGGAGCCTGGCTGGCTCAGTTGGAAGAGCATGCAACTCTTGATCTCAGGGTTGTGAGTTCAAGACCTATGTTGGATGTAAAAATTACTAAAATAATAATAAACTTAAGAATGAAGTATCATAATGTCTATGTTTATTTTATTTTTTAAAGATTTTATTTACTTATTTGATAGAAAAAGCACACAAGCAGGCGGAGCAGTCAGTAGAGGGAGAAGCAGGTTTCCCACTGAGCAGGGACCTCAACCCAGCGCTCACTCCCAGGACCCTGGGATCCTGACCTGAGCCAAAACCAGATGCTCAACTATCTGAACCACCCAGATACCCCACATCATAACTTGTATAATTTACTCTTGAACAGTTCAGTTTTAAAAAGTGTTAAGAAATAAAGCAAATGTGGCAACTATTAGCAACTGGTGAATCAGAGTAAAGAGTACATGGATATATACTGTACTGTTCAATTTTTCCTGTAGGCTTGAAGATTTTCAAACTTAAAAATGTGAGGGGGGCACTTGGGTGGCTCAGTTGTTAAAGCGTCTGACTCGGTTTCAGCTCAGGTCATGATCTCAGGGTCATGTGATTGAGCTCCATGGCAAGATCTATTATGCTCTGCGGACAGTCTGCTTGAGATTCTCTTCCTCTCGCTCTGCTCCTCACCTCCCCACCAAAAATAAGTAAGTAAATCTTAAAAAGCATGTGGGGAAAATCAGTTAGAATGTCACCCATGTTAAGTAGATTTAAGTAGCTGAATTTAGTAGTCAAAAGAATATAAAAGACAACAGACTAGCACCTGGAAAAAAAAAAAAAACTAAACTAAAACAGAATTAAGCCAAGAATGGTCATGCTACAAAGACCCATAACAAAGCATTTGCAATAAAAATGACCAAAAACCCGATCCTTCTGATTAAATGAACAGTTCTTACAAATTATCTAGCAGATCTTTGATGGAAAAAGAATAGACAAAGAAAAACACGGTACGCAGACAAAGAAGCCAATTATCTGAAATGTTAAGTGTCTTGTTCAAGGCTGAAAACTGATAATCTAAAACAAGTTCAATGGGTTACTGGGTTATAAAAATTGTGTTCTCATCTCCAGAAATTTAAAAAATTAATCTTAACCCTTGAATCACTATGTTGCATGCCTAAAACTAATATATCAATTAAAATAAATTTTGAAATAATTCAATGACAACCAGTTTAGTAGTTTTTTTTTTAAATCCCCCCCCCCCCCCCGCCAGTAATCTCTACAGCCAACATGGGGCTTGAACTTACACCCACCCTGAGGGTCAAGAGTTACACGCTCTACCAAGTGACTTAGCCAGCCAGGTCCTCTGACAGCCACTTCAAGAGTAAAAAACAGGGGCCCCTGGGTGGCTCAGTGGGTTAAGCCGCTGCCTTCGGCTCAGGTCATGATCTCAGGGTCCTGGGATCGAGTCCCACATCAGGCTCTCTGCTCAGCGGGGAGCCTGCTTCCCCTTCCTCTCTCTCTGCCTGCCTCTCTGACTACTTGTGATCTCGCTCTGTCAAATAAGTAAAATCTTTAAAAAAAAAAAAAAAAAAGTAAAAAACACCTCCTTAACCAAGAGAATCTTATGTTAAGTTACAGTACAGGTATTAACTGAAATCTGGATTTTCTAATTAATTTGGTTTGAATGCATCTAGGTGTTTGAAAATGATATGTTGAAATAAATAAAATGGTCACTTAATTCATACTATCTATTTTAAGGCTTTTCCTATATTATAATTACACTTAAAGCGTATTTAACACCCACATACCACAAAGCAAACTGTGAGATATATGAAGATTGTAAAAGACATTATATAAACTGGCATTAGAAAAGTCTATCAAAACCTATTAACAACAAAAATTTCATTCCCAAGCCTTAAACACCAGAGCTAAGAAGTATGAGATCGTTTTCTAAGAAGCAGTCTCTTGCCCCATCTGGTACAAAAAGTTTATCACTATCACTGCACCAGAACGGTACAAACCCAATCACTAAAACCAGAACTAGAAGACTCCACCCTGAACCAATTTTAATCACCCTTTTCTAGGAAAGAGCAGCTTTCAAGTTTAATATTCTTCTGAACCAGCCATTCCTCAAGGTTTCTAGTTTTAAATTAATTTTGAGACTAAAGGGACAACACTTTTAAATAATGATCCAAGTAAAGGATTTAAATAAACGATGAGATTACGTGATTCCAAGTCTGCATAAACAAAGATATTAATAGAATATGTAATTATATAATTAAAATCTAAATACATCTTTATTGAGAAAACCAGTATTTCTATTTCAATACCCAGACACAAAATATTATAACACAAAAGAAATAAAGTTGGAGGAAAAACTGTGACCTAGGCAATTCCCATTTTAATCTCATAATTTAACCCCACATCTATAAAGAATACAATTGTAGATATCTATGTTATTCCTTAAGTTTTATATATAACAAATTTGAATCATTCTTTCAAAATGGCCTCACACACAGTAAAGCTCTGTATGTAAAAGAACCCCTTAATAAATTTTCTTCCGATTGAAATCACTCTAATTTATGTGCTCTAAAAGCATGGAGAAACTTTCCATACCAGTTATAACTGTCTATAAGCAGGTAGTTATGTTAAAAGACAGCATGTCAACGCCAAACAACTTTTATACGGCTTATTTCAAGATATCACCACTGCTGATAATTTATAACAAGAGACAAACCAAACATCACCTTGATTTTTATACATATTAGTACCTTGTATATATTTAGTGCTCTCAGATAACTGGAAAACCTATTCAGTTTCTCACATTAATAATGAGAGAAAATCAAGGTAAGTAAAACAGAGCCCGTTCATGTTTGGGAACATGAAATGGAAGGAGGATTTGAAATGTCTTCTAATTGAGCCACGGGATAGAAGACAGGAGGTAGGCAAAGGTACTAGCTAGACTACGGTCCTAAACTTTATTCAAATCATTTGATTCCTACTTTCTGGAAATGTGGCATTGATTTTTATTTAATTTTTTAAAACAGCAACACTTGAGGTCTTAAGCTACTTTGGAGTGTCTCAAAACCAAGAGTCTGTACACAATACATATAGCTAAGTAGGGCTGAACAGATCATGTACCAAAATACACTGTCATCTATGTCTAAGATGCCCAAGGATGCTACTCCATTTTACCTGAAATAACAGTAAGCCACTTTTTTGTTATTATTGACAAGCTCAATTCCACTTAGAAAATGGACCACAGTTTCAAGTCCTTAGAGTTCACATAAAAGGAATTTCCTCTACCTCTACCTGTTTTTGAGGCTCTGTTCTAGGGGACTTCACTACCTAATAACTACTGTTCTCTACTTTCTCCAAAATGGGACTAACATTCTTCCTTTGTTCTTGTTTTGACTCTTTTCTTCCTGACTCAGTTCAGGGAACATCTTTTTGGAGCCTTCTCTCATTTCCCTGCCCTACACTTAATACAGAATGTATGAAGGATAAGGACGCCTGGGTGGCTCGGTCAGTTAAGTATCTGCCTTTGGCTCACGTCACGATCTCAAGGTCCAGGGATCAAGTCCCCCATCTAGCTCCCTGCTCGGCAGGAAGTCTGCTTCTCCCTCTACCTCCTCCCCTTGGCTTGTGTTCTCTCTTGGCTTGTGTTCTCTCTTTTGCTCATGCTGTCTCTCTCAAATAAATAAAATCTTTTAAAATAAGGAATTTACAAGGAATAATTAAAAATAAAGACACTATATTTCTTAACAGTAGTGGGACATGCTTAATGTATATGAAGTTCATTTTTCTTATCATTTGGAAATTACATAGAGAATATAATGAATACCTTAGACCTGGAATCTTCTCCCATCCCTGGCACTTTTCTGGTTTATCCTGGAATCACTGGGCAAAGCATGGACAGTAGGGAGATTTTAAAAAGCAGAAAAACTTTAGGGGCGCCTGGTGGCTCAGTCAGTTGGGCCTCTGACACTTGGTTTCGGCTAAGGTCATGACCTCAGAGTCCCGGGATTGCAAAGAACATCCAGCAGTGGATCTCTTGACCTCTGCCAAAGAGCTGGCTTGAGATTCTTTCCTCCTCCTCCCTCTGCCCCTGCCCCCACTCATGTGCATTCTTTCTCAAATAAATAAAATCTTTAAAAAAAAAAAAAAGGCAGAAAAACTTTAAAGGTTACCTGGTAGGGCTCCAAGTTCTTAAGCAATTGATTATGGATTCCCGTTTTGCAAACTCTTTCCCTACTCATTTGCAGGGGGAAAATGAAAAGGTTACATGAATACAAAACTTCTGCAGAGCCCTCAGGACACACAACTGTGTCCTCCTAGTATGACTTGTAAAGAGATGGTCAAAGTCTTTCCTAGCATTAAGGGTCTAAAATGAAAGGGCTGTGAAGTGCCTGGGTGGTGGCTCAGTCTTAGTTTCAGCTCAGGTCATGATCTCAAGGGTGAGGAGATCCAGTCAAGGACAGACTCAGCACTCAGCCAGAAGCTGCTTGAAAATTCTCTCCCTCTGTCCCTCCCCTCAAATAAATCTTTTCAAAAAATACAAAAATGAAAAGGCCCTGGCGGAAAACAAGGAGAATCTTCATTCCCATTAAGCTTTCTGTAAAAAGACTGCCCTACTCAAAGGTCAGGACCACTTGAAGTCATTGCTATCTACCTGTACGGTGTTTATCTGAGAGAGCACACAAGCAGCACAGAGAAGAGCTCCAAAATGTAGATCACTTTTAACTAGCTTTCACTGTTGTCTGATTCAAGTTCCACCAGGAACCATGCTCCATTATAGATAAGTACATTATCAGAGGCAAATAACAGCCACCAACTTAGGGCAGAGTTAGTGGAGTTATTGTCTCTTCCCAACAATCTTCAGCACAGGCTAATTTCACAACCATTACTTCCCAAAAACATTCCATTAAAGAAAGTTCAAGGGTGCTATGCTATATAAACCTTTAGAAAATATTTCATTTTCGATGAAATGTTTTAAATTCTACATCTTCTTGTGAAGTATATGGAGTTTATTATAATCCAAAAGGGAGAAAAAAAGCCCAGCAGGGCCAACAAGTACTGTAGATAGTCTCACTTGAGTTTTTCAATAGAAAACAACTTCTGGAAATCACCTTAAATGTCTTTGTCAATAAAGTCAAATCCCTCAGCTCAGCAGCAACTGAATAATCATCTAGTATTCCAACTCGTATCTAAGCCTAGAATAAAGGTATCAGGTATCCCAGTACTTCTTTAAGAGGACAACTATTTCCTACTTAAATTCTCTTACCCAACCTCCCAGAAAAGAAAGCAGAAGCAGTTAAGTTCCCTGGTCTACCCAAGGTCGCTGAAAGCAAAGGAAAAATGTTAACCGAAGAACCAAGTCACAAAACATTAGTTTATTACTCACCCTACCCACTACTACCTTAGAAAACCATCCACCAGAAGCAGTAATACAATGGGTCTCTAAGGCATTCATCAATATAGCACAGCCTTTTAGCCATATCACTAATTTCCTGAAAGCAAAAGCCAATTCCAATCCCAACAGCTTTCACTTAGCCTCCAGACCACAGCTTCACAAACCAGAAATCATCCCTGCGTCTCCCACCTTCCAACAAGGAGAGCCTAGCAATCAACATTCTTTCAGTCAATACCCGCGGTGTTCAAGCGGCTTCTGCCTGGGGAACACTGAGAACCCATACACAAGGCCAGCGGCAACGCTAGAAGATCAGGGTGTACCAGGGTTCACACTCAGGGCTTACAGAAACTCCCATCAAATTCCCAGGACACACTCGTAACCGAGTCGAGGACAGCTCTGACCCTTTCAGCAGTGAGACCAGGGCCCGAGTAGGCCCTGGGATCGAAGGGCTACAAGCTCAAGGTCACCCATGCACCACGACAGCAGTTCCCCGAGGACACTTCTCCGAGCAGCCACGTGCTCTCAGCAGAGCGGGTCGCCGCTGCGGCAGCGTGGCTCGCACTCCCGCGCCCGCGGCCTAAGGCTGTCCCACGAGGTCCCGCATCTTTTAAGGACGAGCCAGGGAGGACAAGGGATCCGGGTGGCCCGAGGAACCGGAAGCAGAATGGCGGGGCTCAGAGCTACAGTGGGTACCCCTCATCTCGCCCTCCATCCCCTAACGGAAAAACCATTTGCCGCTCCGTGACCGAGACAAGGCGCAGGAAGGCAAAGAGGACAGCCTTTAGCCCAGCGGCTCCAGCTCGCTGCACCTGCAGCCCGCTCCCCGCGCCGCCGCGGCCCCTTCCTGACCCTCTCGCGCACCCCGCTCCATCCCCCTCGCCCCCCTCAGAAGCCGCCGCAGCCTCCCCGCGCCCCCTGCGTCTCCCGGACACTGCTGGACAGCACCCCAGGGGGCCGCCGCGGAGTCTGCTCGGACCAGCTCTGCAGGCTGAGGAGAGGCCCGGAGGGCGGCAGTGGTCTAGCATCGGCGCGACACTCACACGGACACCCCTCCGGCCGCTACCTCCACAGCCGCCACAGGCTGAAGCTGACGCTTTCTGGGGGACGTTCGCCCGCAACCGGCTGTTTATAGCTTGGCTCCACCCTCTTCCAACCCCTCCCCGGCTTTACGTCACTTCCTGTCTCACGTACACCCAAGAGGTGCCCTGGCTGTGGACTGCCTGGGGCGAGCGGTGCGCACGCACCAGGTCGCGGACCCTCCGCTAGTGTGCAAGGCGAGGCCAGGCGGGGCGGGGCGGGGCGGGGCGGGGCGGGGCGTGGTCGGACAGAAAAGGCGCCAAGCCTGCAGGTGCCTGGAGGAGCGGTGGGATCCGCATACTGGCTTCTTTCTTACTCGCTGCTTTCTGCTGCGGCACACGCGGACCGCAGCCCTGCTCAGTGGATCCAGCAATCTAACCTTGACCGACCTCCAGGCCTTGCAGTGCAAAGGCAAATGGTGTTGGCGTTCACTCCTAAATGCTGGATACACACGCGGAAATAATTCCTTAAAGTGTATGTTCTTGTTGAAATATTAGGGAGCCACTAACGCCATATTGTATATATTTTGCAACCTCAGAAATATTTAGGATGAGCAAAAAGGAAGAACATTTAAAAGCAAAATCCAAATTTGTACTTAGGATGTGTAAAAGCTGCACATGGACCCAAACTGCCACAGTGCTTTGCATAATGTTTAATGCAAGAAGAAACGAAAGGGAAAACAGAAACAAGTGAGATTTATTAGGGGATAGGATTGTAGATGAACTTTTATACTCATCGCCATTATTATTACAGACTTGTGGAGTGTATAACAAGGTAGGATTCTGGTCGCTTTTTAAACTCGTCACATCCACAACCTCTCCCCACCTCTAGGCGGTAATTTGCAACCCGCGGAGGGAGATTAGAGGAGTTTACAAACTGCTACAACGCCAGAAAGGGAGCTAGGGGCCATAAAAGGGTTATAGATAAGGCGCTTTCCAGGTCAGTCCCGAGGGAAGCAGGGCAGTCCTTTTAAAATGCAAATCTGTTTTCTGGCTTCGGGATCCCGCTCTTTCCCCTACTCTGCGATATTTTAAAGGAAATAACACGGGGTTTGCACGCCGCCCTTTACTTTGGCCCCGTTCTTTAAAAATCTCTCCGCAGGGAGAAATATTCTTAAATCTTGTAATCAGGAGCTTCGCTGCATCTCAGTGGATCCACACAGGAAAAAGTGAAATCGAGGAGCCGGGTGGATATGGATTAGCTGTGGAGGGTCTTGAAATTCAGACAATGAGGGAGCTGAGTCTCTTCTTTTCCTGGACTGCTGGGATCTTAACAATGCTAGGATCCAGGTGAAAATCTTATAACCATATGAAGAAATGGGCTTAGGAGAACAGGGTCAGGAGGAAACCTATGAAAATTCAAATTAAAGAATTTACATTTGGGGCTCCTGGGTGGTTCAGTGGGTTAAAGCCTCTGCCTTCCGCTCAGGTCATGATCCCAGGGTTCTGGGATCAAGCCCCACATTGGGCTCTCTGTTCAGCAGGGAGCCTGCTTCCCCCTCTCTCTCTGCCTGCCTCTCTGACTACTTGTGATCTCTGTCTGTCAAATAAATAAATAAATAAAATCTTTAAAAAAAAAAAAGAATTTACATTTACTCGTGCAGCCACGTAGAAAAGAGTATGGGGGTTCCTCAAAAAATTAAAAATAGAACTACCCTAGGGCCCAGTAATGGCACTACTGTTATTTACCAAAAACTATAAAAATATTAATTCAAAGGGCTACACCCACCCCTATGTTTATTGCAGCATTATTTACATTATTTACAATAGCCATATTATGGAAGCAGTCCAAGTGTCCACTGATAGTTAAATGAGTAAGGAAGATGTGGTGTATATATACAATGGGATATTTTTCAGCTATAAAGTGGAATCTTGCCATTTACAACAACACTGATTGAGCTAGAGAGTATAATGCTAAGCAAAATAAGTCAGAGAAAGACAAATACCATCTGATCTCACTCATATGTGAAATTTAAATACAAAATGAATGAGCGAAGGAAAAAAGAGACAAACCAGGTCTCTTAACTATAGAGAACAAACTGTCAGTTACCAGAGGGGAGGTGGGGTAGGGGGGGCAGCAGATGGGGATTAAAGCGTACACTCACCATGATGAAAAAAATAAAATTAAAAAAAACTAAAATGAAAAAAAATTTACTTCACTAAAATGAAACAAAAAAGAAGACACTAAAGAGCATGCCAATTAAATTCTTAATTTCCTACCTCTTATTAGTAATAATGGACGCTGTAATTAAATTCCCTTTCCTATCCTTTTCTCCCTAGCAGCTTTGCAGGATCTCCCTCTTCTGCAATTTCAAGTAGATGAACATAAATTTCTCTTCCTTTGCTGCAGAATCTAAGCATACTGAGAGACCATTCTGCTTTGTCTGCTGTCCCATATTAGTGTTCAAATATTTTATTTTTTTATTCTGATCTTCATTGTGGTCATTGTTATTACCATTATTACATAGCATTATCTCCCACTTCTGGAGACCCAATAATTTGGATGCTTGCAATGAAATACGGTTTTGGTAACTAACCTTTATTTAAACTCTCTGGCACAACTGAAATGGCTATTATTCAAGTTTCAACCTTCCTCAGACTGTTACATAAAACTCACACTAGAACTAACATTCTTGTTGCTTGGGGGAAGGAACATTTTTTTTCCTCTATCCTTCTAGGTTCTTTGGCTGGTAAGTTGATATAAAACAGTTTAACCAGAGAAAAAACGAATGTAATTACAGATATACGGTCGCCCCATAAGAATTTGAGATCCAAGGGCAAGCTGGACAATTGAGGCTTATTTACCATCCAGAGCTAGGGAATAGGGTAGGGGCCTGGGGCTTTAAAAGGGAGAAGGATAATTCACAGGACTATAAGAAGAGCAGATGTTTAGTAATTAAATGTTTGCCCTGCCATACAGATGGGTAATTCAGACAAAATTTCTCTCTGGTAATAACTCCTATTCTGGGGGCACCTGGGTGGCTCAGTGGGTTAAAGCCTCTGCCTTCAGCTCAGGTCATGATCCCAGAGTTCTGGGATCGAGCCCCGCATCGGGCTCTCTGCTCCGCAGGGAGCCTGCTTCCTCCTCTCTCTCTCTGCCTGCCTCTCTGCGTACTTGTGATCTCTGTCTGTCAAATAAATAAATAAAATATTAAAAAATAATAATAATAAAAATAAAAGTAGAACTGTTTTTAATAATCAATTTTATTTATTTATAATTATATATAAATATATAAATAATCACATTAATTAATTCATTTTAATAATCAATTTTTAATGTAAAATTACAATTGCATGTAAACACATTCTCCTCCCTAACTCAAGCCCAGGTGCAAGAGGGAACTTAGGCTGCTTGGCCCACAAGATCAAAGTCAAAACATACACCTCTCACCTTAGTTACAGATGAGGATCCTAGGAAGAAGAAAAAAAAAAGGTGAGTAGGGAAGTGGGGAAGGCATTGGAAACCTAAGCCTACAAAACGATACAATTTGGAGGTGGGAGCTTTTTAGTTTTTGTATTTTGTTCCTTCCATTTAAAAACATTGATCTGAGTGGCTGGGTGGGTGAGCTGGGTGGCTCAGTGGGTTAAAAACCTCTGCCTTCTGCTCGGGTCATGATCCCAGAGTCCTGGGATCGAGCCCCACATCGGGCTCTCTGCTCAGCGGAGAGCCTGCTTCCCTCCTTTCACTTTGCCTGCCTCTCTGCCTACTTGTGAGCTCTCTCTGTCAAATAAACAAATAAAATCTTTAAAAAAATAAATAAATAAAAATAAAAACATTGATCTGTTTATGTTATGTATATTTTGTCACAATTAAAAAACACACATTAATATGCCAACTCAGTAATAGAAGATCGAAAATCATTTGCTCTTCCCGGAGTCCTGCCTGTGGTCCAAATGCTAAATGGGGTCTCTTACGGTCACATATTTTTGATAGCACTCGATGGTAAAACATCTATTTTACTCCACAACTCAGTATATGTGTGTATATGCATATGTGTGTGTGTGTGTGTGTGTGTGTGTGTTCACATGAAACAAGAGTTTCATGAAATAATATATTTGCTATGTGCAAGACACTCTGGAATTTTCCATTTAATTTTTAAAATGCTGATTTCAACCCATTCAATTGATTTCTCAATGGGCTGTGAACTGTGTTGGAAAACTACAGTCGGAGGCCATCTCCTGTCTCAGAGCACAATTCTCGTTAGTGAACAGGACAAATGACTTGCTCAAAGTTAAATTTCAACTCCCAAGGCTTCTCCCTGTTACTTTGCCCACTGTTTCAACTTTCTAACACCCTGCACTTCAGCGAATATTGATTGAGGTTTTATGAGTTGGGAGGTAGAGTTAGAAAACACAGATAACGTCTTTTCACATGCTGGCCAATCCTGGCACACACTTTGGTCAGTCACAGCAGATCTCTGCCTGTCACATAGTAGGTCCTCACAGCAACCGCCACAGAAGCCACTGGACCCCACATTCAACTCTGACCACAACTCCCATTTGACAAACTGTATCCATTTTCTTTACCTTGGAATCCCTAAGGCTAGGGCGATCACTTTAGGACCAGAATCATAAAATAAACATGTAGACCTCTGCACACTGGAACAGGATGCTTTCCACAGAATGGAGGTGGACTGTCAGCTCACATATTTGAGGTTGGTACTATTTTCCCTTTTCTTTTGCATTTTTTTTCTTTTAAAAATGTACTTGGGAACCTTCAGTTTCCTGTCCTAATACTGCTGACTAAATTATTTTTGGTTTCCCCTGTACTAAAAGGAAG